GTGGCATGCATTGTCTCTCTTTGGATCTCAATATTTTCCCACTAGATGGCCAAGACCTAGTGTTTTTGCAGTATTTCGACACGCAAATGTATGACGTCACCATTTCAACCATCAATGAACGCATGGAACTAAAACAAAGCTTAATATAAAGGAAAAGCTTGAGAGGTGACAGAATTACCTACAATGTCGGAATATGCCGCGTTTACCCTATTTTAGAATCAGTTCATTTTTAATTTTGTCATTTATTCAAGATCTAAACCAATTTTTTATGTATGATGATGCTGGTATCCATGATACTTTACTATTACAGTGGCAAGTGGTAACTGGTCTACTTATAGGACTCAGAAATGAACTTGAGGGAGAGTCTAAAAAACTCTCTGCTTTGCCACTATGCGGCAAATTGCCAAGATTGGAGCAGAGAGGCGCAGGTCTGAACTTCTGAAGTTCTGAACCCAGCTCTGTGCACCAGTTTGATTTCTGGTAAGAATTGGCAAATTGCAAGGAGGCTGGACAGTTAAGCACAGCACAGCAGAATTGGAGCAGCCATGGTCAGGAAGATGTGCCAGGTGCGCGGGAATTTATTTTGTCATTTTAACGACCTGTGCGGTGCGCCGTACTACGTTGTTAAAAAAGTGTGCCGTGCGCCATACTTTAGAAAGCTAGAATAGTTCTACTATTTTAGTCGACAATATACGCGAGTATATTGACTACGCGAGTCGAACTGACAATAATAAAATGTAAGACATGTCCGGGTTACTTCTGACTCTTCCGGTTGTCCGCCTTGTCAGACACGGAACGTACGGTAATCATAAACTGCTGCTGTTATACATATGAAATGTAAACAGACGGTGTTCAGTGTTGCCATATGACTTTGGAGAAAATTTCTTCTAAAATAAAGATGGCCGGGATTGCGCGAACACGTGCGCGAAGATAATCAATTTTCATTACATTGCGCCAACTGTGCCCAGCAATAGCTTAAAAAAAGTGAAAATGCGCGGGAAAATTCACCGAAAACATACATCATCCTGAGTGTGATGGAGCAGTAAGTTGTGAGTTTGAGAGTTGAGAGTCCAGGATGGAATTAATTTTGAAGGTTCATATATTATTTTGATCCACCTAGACCACTTTTTTTGACCCAACAATGTTACTTGAGGCAAAAAATGAACTTCCTTAAGGCTTAAAACATGTACGCTAACTTGCTCAGTTTCTATAAAGTACCTAATAACTTGCAAGTTGTATGCCTGCACCTTTCACTGAACAATTAAAACTAGACTTATAAAAAGTATTAGGTAAGCCTCTTGCCAGCGAGAAACTTTCCAAGGTAAGCCTCTTGCCAGCGAGAAACTTTCCAAGGTAAGCCTCTTGCCAGCAAGAAACTTTCCAACGTAAGCCTCTTGCCAGCAAGAAACTTTCAAATGTAAGCCTCTTGCCAGCGAGAAACTTTTCAAGGTAAGCTTCTAGCCTGCAAGGAACTTCTTTAGGTGAGGCTGTTGTTTCTTATTTTAGTTGGAATGAGTCCAAAAAGTAAATATTTGCTGTGTCTTTTTATAAAAAAAATTCATTTTGAAACTACGAGCTGTGTGTGACTGATGCTGAGTACATTTCTCTTTTACAGTGTGATAAATGTCTGAAAGTGAGGGTCTTCTTATTATCTTGATAGTTTGGGCTTATAAAATTTATTTTACAGGTTTTCCAAGAGTTTGTAGATAAGGAGACAGAGATGCGTGAGGTCTCAGACTTGAAGGCAGATTCAAAGAAAACAAGTACAGACGACGAAACCACTGGTCACGAGAGTCGGCTAGATGGCGATGAGGCAATTAACGAAGAAGCTCCAACATCTTTACAAAAATTTAGCGATACAAATAAGCAAGATAACGAGGGGCGGCGCGACTCTGGCTCTCAACGTAAAGGTGTATCGTCAAGTGATCAACCTGAAAATGATGCTTTTGATACCGTAAACGACGACGACAGTGAAAGTCCGTTCTCGCCAATTGTCCAGCAGGAACTTGTATTTGATGATGGCGGCCAGAACGATGATGATGATGAAAGTGACGATAACGAAGAAAATCATATGAACGTTGAGGAAGACGATGATGATGATGATGATGATGAGGAAGATGATGTAGATTCTTTGTCTTTGCCTGACATTGAGCATCAATCAGACGACGATAGCAGTTCAAATGAAGCTCCATCCATGAAGGAGCACAGAGTCGAAAATGCTCTACAACAAAGGCAAAATAAGTCTATAGAAATACCTGTTGTAGTTTCTGAAATGTTGAATGATCGTGTGGAAAAAATGGGGGATGCAGCTTCTCTTAAGAGTATGAATGCTGCAAGTACTTTGGATTTGGTTGACAGCAGAAGTGATGACAAACTGGAACCATCATTCCGGAAATCTCGGGCCGAAAATTCTCTTCTCTTGGAATCGCCAGATATCATCCCTGATACAGAATTAGATAATGTTACAGAAGGAATGTTCATTTCAGCTAATGCTGGCAGAAAAACTTGCGAATCTAATGCTTTGGAAGCAACAACGTGTGGTAGACGGTCTGATACTCCAATAGAACATACTTCACCGAGTCAGAAATCTAATTCTGCGAGAAACAAATTGATTTCTCCTAAAAGCATGCAACGGCTTAAACAAAAAAATGAAAGCCTTACAGATGTTACTGATGAAAACTACATTTCAGAGCAGGAGGATTCTGGAAGTTTGCATCCAACAAAGGGACAAAATGATGCAGGAATGACCGTTGTAAACAATTATAGGTCAAGTTCGGATGTAGTCGAAGAGGTGTCTAGCAACCAAGAAGTCGAGGTAATTGAATCAACTGTTCATGGTCCGAATAGAACCCAAGACGCCTCCATTAACAAAGAGTCAACTTCACCTAATAAATTGAGGCTTACAAAAAAGCCTGGCCCTCTGTCAAAGAATTCGTCGTCTTCCTCGAGCGTTCCTAAAGGCCCCGTGCCACGAATAAAGACGGCCAAGCTCAGTCGTTTGGGTGTTACTAAGGGGCAGGCTTCCCCGGCGTCAAGCAGCTCTAGTATAGATTGTATCGACACCAACATAGAGGAGTCTGTTGTGGACGCCAGTATTAATAGTGCTAATGGTATAATGTACAATTCGAACGGTGTCCACTGTAGCAAATCGTTTGAAATAAGTACTGAAAATTGCTTAAACACTGATACACCTTCTTCCCTTGGTAAAACTAAGGATTCTAATCGTTCTGACGAATTCAAAGATAAGTCTAATTTGAGTAGTATGAACTCTTCTAGTACTTCGAGATCCCTGTCCTGTGCTTTAAGCAAGACCAAGGATGTAGGGGAACCTGCTGCCATTGAAGTTCTCGATTCCGCAGTGAAAAACGGCAATCATAACGAAAATTTTGATGTTGACTGCCAATCATTGTCGCCACAGCCGGAAGAACTGTCGTCTGAAGAAGGTAAGTCTGTAATTATCCATGAAAAAAATTACAAAACCACATTCTTGAAAAATGGTTTTGCTGTCAGTGATTTTGATTAACTCGGGGAGGTCTTCTGCCGTCTGTCTGTTCTTTATAAGTTTCTTTGTGCCACTTGTTTTCTGTAGAATATTTTCGTTGTTTGACCAACAACGAACTTTATATGCACTAAGCTAGTCTTCAATTACGTTTAAATAAACCAAAAACTCTTAGAATAAATTCAGAAAAGTTTTTCGCTTATGAGGCTGATCTATTCTATCAGCTTTTTCTGAACGCAAGATTAATAAAATTTCTGACATAATTCATTGAGTTTTCGTCTGTCATTGATAGAGTCACAGCACCAATAAGTAAGCACATAACAGTTCGATATCAACTAATTTTATCTTTCAGACGTTTTACTTGCAACAAGCCAGCATTTTGGAGACACAGACGACGACTACAACGACGTGCATGGCCTGCCAGATGCCAGATTTGACAGCGCGTCGCACAAAAGCTTAGAAGTTCTGGTGAAGGAGGAAGCCGCGGATGGCAGGAGAAGGCGCGCTGATCCTGTGCTGCTGGTGCCCAACGGACGTTACCAGCAGAGAGCGGCGTCTCCAGAACTGGTGGAGCTCGATTAGGTTCTAGTAACTAATCTTAAGGAAACATGCGCGAACTTGACCTGGACAATGCACCGATTTCAAGGCACGCTTTGACATTTTATTCTCATAGGGCTTATTTATAACACATCGAATGTTTAATTGCACGTTAGGTGAAATTCCTCCTATTTATCAGTTGATTTTAAGATACAGTTGCTGAGAAAATTGCCGATGTCCCTTCATTTTGGAATGCTAATGCCCACCTGGGTTGTTAAATGGGAACTTTTCTAAAATTGTCAAGATTTTTTTACTTCACTGAAAGTCGTAATTAAAATTAGATATAATCCTAAAATTATATATAATTAATGCGCTTGTGACCGCCGCTTAATAAATGATTCCGATGTCATAAATTCGTCAAGAACTCTGACACATTGACTACGTATTGGTACATTAACTATCACTGAGACTCTTAACTAACGTGTTTGTGCACATATTTACCGCTGAATAAGTGTTCTGGCGGCGTCTATGACGTGTTGATAGTTGCCATTCATTGGGTGATTTGGGTTAATTGTTCAGGCTTTGAATGATGATTGGTTGGCTTGTTTGTGTGGTTTCAGGTTCTGATTCTTTATATTGCAGCATTCATAACTCACTCGTGCATGGAGGGAGTGAAGCGAATACCTTGAATCTTCATCCCAATCCTCCTAATCGCAATTAAGCTATATTCGGTTGGAAATATAAGTGCAGTACGGTAGTAATGTTTTCGATAGTTACATTTTGATAGAAAATAAGGGTCTGTCCTTGGACCAGTGCGAGTCAAAAGAGCTGGTCAAAAGCGAGTTTTATAGATTTCATGTAAAAGAAATCTAGATGATAATCTATCGTATGTCTGGTAAAAAACTGGATTTGGATCAGTTTTATTCGCCCGTTCTGAGTTGTGGTATGTGTGCACCATGTCCATTTTCTTTCGACTGTACATGTTCTAGATTTTATTCTGCTTATTTATTTGTGGTAATTTATTTATAAATTTTTAGGATTCCTTCAGTGTGAGATGTATTTATACGACCATTCGTAAGTAGCTATTAAATTTTAGTGTATTCATGACCTTATGACCAATTTTTATTGGATATTTCACGTCTCTGTTAGACTGTCTGATTCGTTATAATTGAACGAATTAACCATTTCAATGTGCTATTAATGCAACTATACTGATGACAGCAACGCTAATACCACCTTGTTTTGATCTGGAATGCTTGCTGAAGAAGAGTCTGATATTCACACTTCAGAAAACTGGTGGCAATCATTTCTTTAGTTTGCTCGTTGGTTGAGCAAATTCTTGCCTATTATTTCTCTGTCAATACATAGGCTGCTGCTATCCTATTATAAGTATTTTTCTCCTAGGTATTTGCTATAATTGATGGTAAAACGTTCATAAGTTTGGTCAGAATGGTTCTAATCCTAAAGTTTGGTTTTGATGCATCTTAATCTAATATTTTAATTAGAGTTTCCTCAACAACAAGCCTCTAAGTCTAACATTCAAATGTAACGAGTTTATGTTTAGTATGAATCTGTCTAAAAACAATTTCAGGTAGTCTATTCTAAAGCCTAAAACAAGTTTATATGTGCCTGTTTTTTTTTAGCTTGAGGGATATATATGTGATGTATACGAACATATTTATGCCGCGCCTCAATATTCAGTAAATCAAATCTGTAAGTTATAATGTTAGCGCGGAAAATTTTACTTCTTATGCGTTGGATTTGGAACTGATTTATGACAGATTTTTATTTTAATGTTCCTGGAGATTTTCTTCTGACTTATTGGAGTGTGTGTGATTCATAACTTATTTTTGCTTGAATACTTCATCATAAAAATTGGACAGTTCATTGTAAAATTGTGACAAGGATGAATACACATTTATACAATTTCTTGTTTTTATTAATTTCGTCGTGATATTGTTCAACGGATAAATTTGGCAAATGAAGCTTTTCAACTGATGAAGTATTGAATTTTTCCCCTTAGTTCACGTTTCCATCTCTGTGAACAGCTTCATAGCTATTTAGGTCCTAACCACGGAGCGAGATCTATTATGAAGAGACCGTTTAATTTCTACTCATTATGCCAAAGCTATGGATGGCAATTAAAGAAAGTCGACTTACTTTTGAGTCGCGAATTAGGTCTAAAATCACGTAGAACTTTGATGAAATGTTGCGTGGATGGCTAACATGATTACATGAATTAATAGTATGAAGGAAAATGTTTACATTCCTGTGTTCTGAATCATTCTATATCGTTTATTGATTAAGAATGTTTATCCTATAACTTTATTTTTACTATCCGGGAACTTTAATTGTTAATTTGAAGCAAGTTACATATGTAATTCATTTTTTACCGTACAATCGACCCCTACTGAAGAAGCTCTCGGTTTTCTTGTATCTCTATCTGTAGCATGAATGTGTTGTATTGTATATATCAAATAATTTCATTCGGCTTGAATGAGAAAATATGTCACGGAATTCAATAAACTTCATTAGCAAACTTACCAGCACTTGAGAGAATTACGAATGCGCATTGAGGCCATAGAACGTGATCAGTGTACATTAACCGACGTAGGTGATTATTTGCGCAAGTTGCACAGAACTATTGCATCAGATTCGTTTGTTTTATCTATGTATACGTTTAATCTTTCTCATTTCACTTCTGTGCCACTACAACATGAACAATTTGTTTTCTATAGATCATATTTAACGTAATGAATTTACTCATTTTACTGAAAATTTTTAAGGAACCATCGGAGCGATTCTCGGGATTCCGAAAACTTTTGTGGGAGTGGGATTTCTGTCTTATTTTTAGTCTTGTATCCAACGCACTTCAAAATTTGATCAGTTAGTTAGCTAAGGCCAAAGATATCTGATGGACGGTGCACAAGAAGCGGTAATAATCTTTCAAACAAAAGTATCTGTAAAAGTACTTCGAATAATTCCTGAAAATCTAAGATACGGCTATAATGTACGTGTTTCTGAATGGGAGTATTGACTGGAAGGCTCTGGTCAATTGCTATATTCCTGGAAATTTCATGATTTAGGCTATGCTGCGTGCCCGAATACCAAAGGCGAAGGTCGTAGGACTCGTTGGCTTAGTGGTAAACCAGAGATTTTTAAGAATCAGTTTATTTACAATTTCCTCGTGTACGCAATATTTTAAGAGATTATTTATCATTATGCTGGTATGATTGTATCCAAGATACCTAGATATTAGGAATTAGGTAGGTAGTCTACTCATACAAATACAATAGTCAATAGTATAGCGGAACCTATACTAGTCTATAGGACTCAAAAGTCAAAACTAAACTTAAGCTTGAGCCTTGAGGAACTGAGGGAGGGCAACAAAAAATGTTTTCCTTTACCCATAGACTAGTGGCAAAGCAGAGAGTTTTTTTAGACTCCCTCAAGTTTGTTTTTGAGTCCTATAAGTAGACCAGTAAAGTATCATGGATACCAACGACAACGTTATCATACATAAGAAATTGGTTCAAATCTTAAGTAAATGAGGAAATTAAAAATGAACTGATTCTAAAAAATCTCTGGTTTGCCACTATGCCTTTACCAGTTACGCCACTTAGGCAGTTAGGCTACCACTATCATGGCCGGGCACTATGAATTATTACTATGTTTGTTTTTCATATAGAAAATTGTTCAAAAATTTAGCTATATATTTTTTGAATAATTTGGTTTGATAATATAGTCATAGCTAAGTTGCTACCTAACATATACCCAAATGTAATTTGAACAGTAATTCCTAGTCTTGAGTTGATGTGATAAGGCCCAGGGTGTTAAAGTTCAGAGTACCAAGGCAAGATTCACAGTGACAGTGGCAGAGCACAGTCTGCACAGCGCACAGATAAGTATTTTAGAATCAGTTCATTTTTAATTTTGTCATTTATTCAAGATCTAAACCATTTTTTTATGTATGCCACACTCAGGATGATGTATGTTTTCAGTGAATTTTCCCGCGCATTTTGACTTTTTTTAAGCCATTTGCTGCACACAGTTGGGCTGAGTTGGCGCAATGTAATCAAAATTGTTTCTCTTCGCGCACGTGTTCGCGCAATCCCGGCCATCAATTATACGCCGCGCAAGAGCAGTTTGTGGAGGAACAGACGTAATACTCAGTACAGTATGCCTTTAATTATCTTTCAATAATATATGATTTTTCTTAATACGGAAATTTGGTNACACCACAGCAGAGAGTATTTTATGCAGCTAATGAATTTCGCAAACTTTGCTGGAAGTGAGATTATTGAATTTTAGAAAAAAGGCGGAATAATTCAATGAAGGGTGGTAGCAGAACTGCAATCTTGATACTCTATGGCAATTTATGCAATCATAACCTACGTAACAATTTTCATATGATGGTTATAATTTTTGCACATTCAAAGTACACATGACATAACATAACGCACCCAGATTTGGAAACCATAATTGCTCTAATGAAGCAAAAATAAACGACAGACCATTGACTTGCAAATATATATATTCATATTTTGTATCACATAGTTTAATTACGCTCTGTAATTATGCCGTATTGACCTAATTTGTATAGTCCATTTACGTGCATTGTTATTAGGTATTGATCATGTCAATTTTGCCGGCCGGGAGGATGTCGGGACTCGGGAATGTAGTCCCAGCAATGGCATGCAGGTTCGTACTGTTGACATACAGGTTCATACCTTACTTGCCGCAACAGCGCAACCAGTCCAGACTCCAGTCATTCATTAGAAGGCACCGATGGCACATCTAAAGCCATGTTGCCTTCTTTAGTTTTGTAATTCATGTCTGATTGAATTGTGATCTATGAATGAATATTCACAACTGTGCTGACACTTAGAAACTGAGTTGACGTTTTAGCAATCTAGTTAACTCATATCCAACCACAACACAATGCGGATACATGTTTGTGTGTACAGTGTACGGTCAGTGTGATTGCGTAAATTGCGTTGCCGCGCGTCCATATTTAAACTATTTTAGCTTTCTAAAAGTACGGTGCACGGCGCATTTTTTTACCGGCATAGTACGGCGCACCGCGCAGGTTGTTGAAATGACAAAATAAATTCCTGCGCACCTGGCACATCTTCCTGACCATGGTATGTATGATGATGCTGGTATCCATGAACCATGATACTTTACTATTACTGGTAAGTGGTAACTGGTCTACTTATAGGACTCAAAAATGAACTTGAGGGAGAGTCTAAAAAAAACTCTGCTTTGCCACTATGCGGCAAATTGCCAAGATTGGAGCAGAGAGGCACAGGTCTGAACTTCTGAAGTTCTGACTTCTGAACCCAGCTCTGTGCACCAGTTTGATTTCTGGTAAGAATTTGCAAATTGCAAGGAGGCTGGACAGTTAAGCACAGCACAGCAGAATTGGAGCAGTAAGTTGTAAGTTTGAGAGTTGAGAGTCCAGGATGGAATTTTAATTTTGAAGGTTCATATATTATTTCAATCCACCTAGACCACTTTTTTTTACCCAACATCGTTATTNTAAATTCTATTAGAAAAATGTTGAATTGAAAATCTGATTATATTTTTAAATTGAAAATTAATTTAAATCAAATTGTATTAATAATGCACTATGTGGTACATGCTCTATGTTTATATAATAAAATAGTTTCCCCTTTTAAACAACAAACATTTTCTAAAAGACAAAACGTTCAAAAACTCGCCATGGCTGACAAAATCATTCAGAAATTGAAGTGAATTTATTAAGATAAATTCAACATAATAGGGAAAAAATGAAAAAAATTCAAATCTGGAATGTATAAATGTGTTTTTATAATTTAAAAAAACTTTCAATCATTTAAATCTCATATGGAATGTGGATCAAGTCTATTTATTGTGAAATCAAACTTGATACAACCACAAAAAACCGTGTGACACCATCTTGTCATACATAAAAGTAGAAGCACAATGTTAACATAAGCAGTGAAAGAGTGACAGTTTCTCATAATTTTGTGTGATGTGGAAAACTTTGTTGGTATTGTCCAATCGTGAGAATTTTTTGCGAATGTGGATGTGTTTTTTTTTTTATTTTAGAACATATTAATAGCAAAAATTTGTCCACTGCCTACAGATCAACGACTAGTTAACTTGATTGAGGCGTTGCCAACACGCGATTGGATGTCAAACCACACACGATTTTGGAAGTGTGGCGGAAGCGATTTTGGGAGCGTTTTTTGTAAACACTGAATTTCTGAAACTGGTCAACTAGCCTACAGTAGATTGAAAATAAAAGTTACCACTTACCAGTAATCTAATGAGTAACCTGGAATCATCTGCAATAATATTCTGCATTGCTGCATTATAATAATGCAGCATGAAGGCAATTTTGAGAATTTTGAAATCTCTTTTAATAGTTTCAATTATTATATCCATTTATAATTTGAGTCTTTCAATAAATATTTTTTAGTATAATTATGCAAAGAGATAAGCTAGAATGGATTTTTTTATGGAGCTACTGCCAAATGCCAATGGCACATAAGTTATCACTTACTACACGCTCAGCTCAGCAGCATAGAGCAGGGTGGAAATCTAAAACTAGTGGTTGACTTAAAAAAAGCATTCTGCCTTGAAAAAAAAAACTTCCAGGCAACTAGAATTTAGAAACAGGTTTGTAGGCTGTCTGATCTGAAATTGGCATGAACATTGCATCAGGCAACACAGTAAATGTCCCAACTCCCAAGATTGTTAATTGTGCGTGCCACTCACGGATAAGCAAGAGGGATCTACAGAAGGAAATACTATTTACTCTTCACATAATGGTTTCAAACTAAATATAAAAAAAACATATATTGCACCTATTCTTTACGTCAGCTTTCAAATTGAGGATAAACTCATTGGCAATCAAAGAAACTTCTCGAATAAAAGGCAA